CTCTAGATGTCAGTCAGCCAGTTAAATCAGGAAAAAGTCTTAACTCTTAGAGCAGTACGACAATGGAATCAATGACCTCAGGAAAAGGTGGTGAGCACTCCAATACTGGAGGTATTCAAGAGAGAATTGGACAATCATCTGTCAGATCTGCTTTGATTTGGATTCTTGCATTGAACAAGGGGTTGACTCAATGGCCTTAGAGGCCCCTTCCAACTTCATGATTTTGAATAAACAGTCACCCTAATGTTCAGACGCAATAGGAACATCCTATCCATGTTGGTAACCACAGGTTATGCGTGGTGTTCTACAACAGGAGCAGGTTACAGCTTTGAAGTGCTTGTCCATGATCAAGAACAAGGCATTGTGATTGCAAAGAGTTCTATATGTGCAACTCAGCAGACTGGTGAAAGGGGAAAGAACTCCATACCACAAAGGAAAGATGGGCATTCGCTGCAGCCAACGCAGAAATGCCACGGTGGGTTTAACACAAGGGACACAGTTCTCTATTCTTCCTTAAAATTAACATTCCAGCTGTAGGATCATATATCTAAAGCATCCTTGATCTCAGTTGAGTCTAAATATATGTGGAATGTTTTTGCTTAAAATTCTCCTGAGGGAAGGTCATTATAAATTAATAGACATGAAGAATGTTTTCACTCACTCAGACTAGAAATGTCAGGTAAACTTAAGAAGAGCCAGGAGTCTCAACAAATGATGTGTCACAAGTGACTAACAGGCACATGGAAAAGGGACTAATAAGCATATGCATGGCAAATTATCTTTGGTTGCATACTGCTTATTTATTCCAAGTACAGGGCCACCCGATCGCTATAGCTCAGTATTAATTAAACCTTGTCACAAACTATTCCAGTTTGTTCTTTCTAGACTCTACCTATTATAATCACAACTCCACTTTGTACTATGTTACTCACATTACAACCATATTTCCACATGAACAGATTTCAGCCCTTTCCCTCCCACTGTTCTACCAGATAAGCAAGCAGAAAAGACAGCAATACACTGTCAACTCTGATAGATGCTGCTCGTTTGAGCAAGCCTCATGTCATTGGATGTTCATCAATCAAGATACTATTATTTGACACCCTGTGGGAAGTCATTTGAGAAAAGTCTGCACATACTGCCCGCTTCTCACAGCTGATACAACTTATGATTAAGTGTTCACTGAACACAGCTAGAAAGAACCCCAAGGGTCCAAACCTCTTCCAAAGCAGGAAATTCACTATTAAGCCATCTCTGATAAATAGCCATCCAACCTCTGCTTAAAAACCTCCACTGGAATATGTCTCCTTTGGAGGAGGTACTTGCTTCCATCAGTAAGACATTGTCAGGGATTGTTTCTTATTGTTTAGGGGAAATCTTCCTTCTTATAATTTGAATGAACAACTTCAGATCCTACCCTTTGGAGCCACATAAACAAAGTTGTTCCATCTTCCACTTGACAGCCTTTCAAAGAGTTAAAAGGCAGGTACCGTATCTCCCAGTTTCCTCTTGTCCATTATAAACACCCCCAACACTTCTTCGGCAGGCTTGATTTTGACTTTTCACCATCTTGGTCACCCTTCTCTCAACATGTTCCAACCTCCTGATATTCTCCTTCACTGCAATGCCCAAAACTGGATATAGTGTTCCAGGTGATGTGTGACAAAACATAACAGAATGGTACTATTACTTCCTTGATCAAGACACTGAGGTTCCGCTGGTGCAGAAGTGGCACTGGATTTGCATTTTTCCCCTCCTGCATCTCACTGCTGACTCACGTTTAGCTTGCTGTCTACTAAGACTCCCAGATCCTTTTCATGTCTGTTACTGCCAAGCTAAAAAAAAACAAACCCTTCCCATATTTGTGCATCTGATTTTTCTCTGCTTAAATATAGAAATTTACATTTTCCCTACTGAAACTCATTTTGTTTGTTTTGCCTCTGTTCTCTAATCTATTAAGGTCCCCTTGCGCTCAGGCTCTTCCTTCTGAACTCCCTGTTTGGAGTCAATGCAAATCTGATGCACAATCCCTCCCTCCACACTTTCATGTAAAATGTTTATTATTATGGTGAACAACGCCAGGGCTTGTCCCTTCTTCCCAGAATGATGAAGAACTCTGGTGCCTCTTCAGCACTCTCCAAGAGTTTGACTTAGAACCCAAGATGTTGTTGTGAGGCATGCAGTTCTTAAAAATTACTGCTGCCAATTATTATGCACAGAAGTCTTTCAAGTGCTTTCTCATACACTGGCAAAAAGAAACCTACAATAACTTCTTGACTAAAACCATTAAAGCAAAGTAGAGCATACGTAAATAATCCTATCAGTTTCCCTCATTTATCTTGACCCTCACTGCTTTTTGCTAAAGGCCTCCTGAAAGTTTCCACTGTGTCCTCAAGAACTGCTCTAACATACTAGTTGCTTTTTAAAATATTAAAGTTAAAATTTCTTCCATTAAAACTCCACTGCCAGTTGAGCAGTCAACACACTTGCAATGGCTTTTCAGTTTTAAACTTTATCCGTCTGACATTTAAGCAGAAGCTGGATGGCTTGTGAAGCATATTCAGCAAAAGTGGCAACTTCCCTGCAATAAAAGCAAGGACATTTATATCAGTCCATGAGGGAAACAAACAACCACTGTTGTCAACAATAGCTAAAGAGGGCATGAACGTTAAGGATATGCAAAATGTTGACAGCATGTATGTTCCACAGCTCTCAAGTTCTAGAGCAAGGGAATTCTCAGCCTGGGGTTCCTTTAGCTACTAACCATTGTCACTATGTACAGATGAAGCTTCAAAGGTAAAGAACTGAATATCCAGCAGGACTCTCAAGTCATCACCAAGTGCGAAAGGTCACACTGAGTCACACAATTTGCAACTTGTGCCTACTGGCTCACCACCATCTCCTTATTCTGGGGCCATGCACTCTCCCTCTTATATTTGAGGAAATGGGCCTTGTTTGTGAAAGTCCCCGCTAAAATACAGCAGTTAATCTTTAAGGTACTACAATGTTTTTATCTCCTTTCACTTTTTATTTTGCTTTTGCTTTTGTTTTGTTTCTTTCCTGATAGGCTTGCACAGACAAATACTGTACAGTTAATGCTTCAAAAACAGAGAACAGTAGTAAGGCCACCGTTTAAATACAATGGTAGAACGGTGATGGTATGGACTCAGTGAAGAGAAACACAGACCCAGGGGTAAATTGAGATTCTCAGTCCCTTAGCAAAGACACCTTCCGGCCTGCATATGCAGAAGAGACACGTCTCTCCCATTCCCACTCCCCGAAACCACGTATCTTTTAAAAGCAAAGCGATACTCAGGTTGGAGGGCAGCTCTTGAGCACTACACACCTGAAGCATCTCATGAAGGGAACTGTGTGCATAAATGATTATGTGATAGATACACTTGTGGCAGACACTAGATCAGTAAGTACTGTAGTTGTAGAGCAAAACAGAACAGCAGAGGACAGAAGGGAAAAAAAGAATGTGATTTAAATGTCCCCAACTGAAACCCCCCCCATCTCAATCCGGAAGGTTGAAGGCCACTGCAGAGCTCCTGTTCAAGGCTACTGAAGCCCTGAAGTTCTTGCAGCAAAGTATCTAAGAATTCTTACATTAGGGAGGCAGGCTGCAGCTTCCGGGAGTTGGTGTCAAAAACATTTGGAGAGCTAAAATTTGCTCACACGTTGAAGTGGATGGGGTGGGTCGGTGGGTGTTCCATAGCAGTATTTTGCTGCAGCCACACTTGTTTTACACAATTTTCTCTGGAAACCTAATAAAAAGGCATGTCAGCAGCAGGTCCGCACAGCAAGAAGGGTGCAACACGTGCATCCCCTGTTTGTTATGCTTTGGTCTCCAGTGCTAACAGATTATGCGCCAGCCTGCCTTTTTCCCCCCAAGGAGAACAAAGAGAGTTCAGGCTAACAAAGCTTTAACGGCTGTGGGTCCAGAAAGCAACAGTCCTGCACTCCCGAATATGCAAGATGAGCGAACAAGCACCAAAGCTCCTGGCACAGAGAAACCGCCGAGCGCACCGCCTAAACTGAGAGGTCGGGAGAGAGGGAGGCCCTGCCCGACCAGCTCGGCTGGGCTCGGCTCCCCCTCAAGGGGTGCAACTCGGGCCTCTCTATGGCGCAAGACCCATCGCTTCCGAAGCTGTTTGCAGGGCCGTGGTTTACCAGGCCTTACGCAGGAGGCCCTATAGCGGGGGCGAATACAGGTGGCGCGGCTGGATCCTCGCTGTGTCCCCCTCCCGGTTGGGCCGCAGTGGCAACGAGAGGGCAGCAATTCAGGAGCCGTTGGCGGCGGCGGCAAGGGAGCCCGCCAACGAGGCGGCTTCTCCTGCGAAGCAGCAGGCCCGAGTTGTTGCGCACTCGGCTCTGGCGGGGACAGCTCCCTGTCCCGCGCGCGCGCGCGCGCCCCTCGCCCTCCCCTCCGGCGGATGTTCTTCTTCCTCCCCTGCGGCGCCTCCAGGCTCTGACACGGAGAAGGAGAGCGGGGAGGGCTGGCCCCTGGACGTGCTGGGGCGCGCTCCCTCCCTCCTTCCCTCCGTCTCCCCAGGCAGCCACGCACTCCGCCCCTCCCCAGAGGCCCTTCCGTCCCAGGCGCAGCAGGAGGCACAAGCAGGCAAGGCAGAGAAAGCCAGGCCCCAGCGCCGCGGCCGCCCCGCTCTCCGGAGGCGACCGAGCCCGGCCCCTCCCGGATGTCGGCGAGCCCCGCTTCTTCTCTCCCCTTCCCCCCCCCCGGCAGCGCCGCGGGGCATCTGCTGAACTGCGCTGTCCGGGACAAAAGGAGGGCAAAGAGAGAGACGCAGCAGAGAGAAAGGCGCACACACAGAGCGAGAGCGAGAGCCCGCGGGGCACGGGGGGGGGGCGAGGGCTGCCGCCGCCGCCAAGGGGTCCCCCGGAGGCCGCCCCGCCCCGCTCTCTCCTCGCTCCCCTGCGGCTGGTGTGGCTCGAACCCAACCAGATCGACCGAGAAGAAAGAGTCTTTGTGCAGGCCTTACCGGACTTCTAAAGCCACAGTTTCAGGGCGCCAGATTTTTAATCCGTCATTAGGGCTTAAAATCTGGAGAGGAGGCACCGAAGGGGAGGGGGAGAGACGGGG